GCCGCCCTCCTGGAGCGGGCCCTGGTCTACCTGCTGCACGCCGGGCATCATCATCATCATCATCATCAGCGCCTGGAGGAGGCCCCCGCCGGCTTCGACGCCCACCTGCACCGGGGCCACGTCCAGGAGACCTTCGCCGCCCTGCGCCGCGCCTACCGCCAGGCCGAGGAGGAAGAGGAGGAAGGGGGACCCCCTTTGCCCAGCCAGGCCCGCTTCCAAGCCCTCTTCCTCCTCTATCACCTGGGTGAGGAGGACTCCAGGTCCCATCAGGCTCCTTTCAAGGGGGATCAGCCAGCAGGACTCCAGGTCCCATCAGGCTCCTTTCAAGGGGGATCATCAGCCAACAGACTGTTACTCAAGAGTTGGCCAAGGGGGAGCCTACCTTGGGGGGTTGTCGTGTAGGAGCAAGGAGAGGGAACCACCCCTCAGGTTCACTGGCCTGGTCTACAAATGCCTTAAAACAGTGGTTCCCCCAACCGTGGGGCCTCCAGAGGTTCTTGGACTTCAACTCCCAGAAATCCTGGCCAGCAGAGGTGGTGGTGGTGAAGGCTCCTGGGAGTTGTAGTCCAAGAACATCTGGAGGCCCCAAGGTTGGGGGACCACTGCCTTAAATGGTCTGCAGCCGAAAGGATTCCGGGCCCTGGTGCTGAGAGCCTGGCCCTCCCTACATCAGAGAATATAGTACATTAAAGCAGGGCGTGAAAGCAAAAGCAGAGGCAGTGGTCTGGAAGTTGGGCCCTGGCAACTGGACATCTGGCTTGTGAGGATAAAATGTGTTGCTGCTCCTCCAAGGAGCTCCTTCAGTCTGAAGAGAATTGATAGGAGACCCCCCTGATCTGAGGAGAGTTGGTAGGAGACCCCCTGATCGATCCTCTAGGTTGGTTTTCACTCCCCCCTGGTCTGAATACCACTCCGAATAGGCATGTTAGAAGGACAAAGGGCTGGGGGGGGGTGAGGGATAATCCCACTTATGCAGACCTTCTTCGATAGGAGGGGTGAGGGATAATCCCATTTCTGCAGACCTTCTTGGATAACAGTTGTTAACAATAGTGGTCTTATATACAGTGGTGCCTCGCTTAATGAGCGCACCGTTTAACAACAAATCTGCATAGTGACGCGTTTTTTGCGATTACTAATGCAATCGCATTGCGATGTTTTAGGTGGCAAAACATCGCATTGCGATGATCGGTAAGCGTTTCGCTTAGCGATCTTTGCATTGCAATGTTTAGAAAACAGCTGATTGGCGGTTCCAAAATGGCCGCCAGGTGCAGAAAATGGCCGCCCGCAGCATTTTCGCGCCCTGCCCTCGCTTACTGGGCAGCGAAAATGGCGGCCAGATGGAGGATTCCCCACATAGCAGGTTTCCCCCAATAGAAACACATTAAACAGAGTTTAATGGGTTCCCCCCCACATCCGGATAGCGGCGATTAAAACAGCTGATTGGCGGTTCCAAAATGGCCGCCAGGTGCAGAAAATGGCCGCCCGCAGCATTTTCGCGCCCTGCCCTCGCTTACTGGGCAGCGAAAATGGCGGCCAGATGGAGGATTCCCCACATAGCAGGTTTCCCCCAATAGAAACACATTAAACAGAGTTTAATGGGTTCCCCCCCACATCCGGATAGCGGCGATTAGAACAGAACAGATTATCATCGCTATGCGGGGCACCACTGTATCAGGGATCTCCTCCCAACTCTCCTCAGATTGAAGAAGCTACTTGAAGGAGTAGTGTTTCAACCTAAATAAGAAAGAAGTCCAGTTGCCATGAGTCAGCTTCCAGATCACCTCACCTGGAGGGCTGAGAATCTTCACAGATATGGAGACAAGAGATGTGGGCTCAAAACAAAAACTAATGCTAAGGTGGTACTTTTAGGCCAACCAACCCTTGCAGCTTTTTTGAGACATGTTCAGGCAAGATGTAAAAAGTAAGCAGTGCAGGTGTAAGAGAAGGCTGGGGTACCTGGCTCGGCAATACTAAAAGCGAAAAGGATCTTGTCAACCACAAGCTGAATAGGAGCCAACATGCGATGCGGCTACAAAAATGGCCAATACTGTTTTAGGCTGCATTAACAGTAGAGTCTCCAGAGGTACTAGTTCTTTACTGGGTATTAGTTAAGCCTCATCTTGAGTATTGTATCCAGTTCTGGACACAGCACTGCAAGAAGGATGCAAAGAAATTGGAACAAGTTAAGAGGAGGTTAACTGGGATGATCAGGGGACTGGAAACCAAGTCCTTGGAGGAAAGACAGAAAGAACTGGGGCATGTTTAGCCTTGAGAAAAGAAGACAGAGGGGAGATACAGCACTTTTCAAAGCCTTGAAGAGTAGTCATATAGCAAAGGGGCAGGATCTGTTCTCAATCATCCCAGCGTGCAGGACACATAATAATGGGCTCAAGCTACAGGAAGCCAGAAGGCTGAATATCAGGAAAAAAGACTTCTTTACTGTTAGAGCAGTATGACGATGGAACCAATACCCTCTGGAGGTGGTGAGCGCTCCAGCGCTGGAGGCATTTAAGAGAAAATTGGACAACCAGATCTGTCAGATCTGATTCCTGCCTCGAGCAGGGGGGTTGGCCTCGGTCGCCTAATGGGCCCTCTTCCCCACCTCACTTACTCTATGACTCCATGATTCTGTGCTATCGTAAAAAGCAAAGGAAGTAAAGAAACGGGTGTTATTAGGTGTTGGATCTTATCTGGTTTAAGTCACACCCTTGTTCACTAGTCGGAGATTAAAAACTTTGACGGTGTTGCAGTGGTAAATTTGGACATGCAGAGGATCATTGCACCAGTTCTGTGTAACTGCTATCGTGCTATAAAGAGTGGCCAGAAGTGCCGGCAACTAATAAGCAAAATAAAAGCATGTCTTTGACAAGGTCAATAGCTCTTGTTTGCCCATTCATGACCAAGCCAGCCTCCCAGTACGGTGCCTTACAAGAGAGATCCCTTGTGGCAGTTACTATGTTGTTGGTAACGTCCATGGCTTTTCCACGAACTGTGAAGATTGCCACTAAGATCCAAAGGATGAAGGAAGCTGAAAGGGGGTGGTGGTGGATGATGTCGTAGCCACGGGTGCTGAGAAAGTGGGGCCATCTTTCCAGTATACCACTGGAGGGGATAGAAAGGACGAGTCTGGGCCACCGTCCAGACCATAATGGTGGACCTTGTTTGCTGCTCTTAGCCATTGTGACCTTCTGTTCCCTCTTCCTCCCCTTTCCCCCCCCCAACACCTTTCTCCCGACAGGCTCAACAGAAGCTCTCTGGCAGACCCTTCAGCTCCCGGAGGAAGTCCGAACCTCCCCTGAACTCCGCACGGCCCTGGCAATCAACTGGGCTTTCCTGGAGCGCAATTTTGCCCGCTTCTTCCGCCTGGCTCGGGCACTGCCCTATTTGCCCAGCTGTGCCCTCCATCAGCACCTGGGCAGCGTCCGTCGCTTGGCCCTGATGACCTTCAGCTCTGGGTTCAGTGCCCGGAACTGCCGTTACCCTTTGTCTCGTCTGGCCCGGCTGCTCGCCATGGATGACCTCGAGGAGGCCACGGAACTGTGCCGGGCCCATGGGCTGGTCGTGACGGAAGGGAGTGTCGTCTTCCAGAAGAGCTCCTTCAAGGACTGCAGCCCGCGGACGGCCAGGACGGACGGCCTGCTTGTGGAAGGGAAGCGGGAGAAAGTTACTCTTCTGGAGTTCTCAGAGAAGATCTGCAGTTGACTTTTGGGCAAAGAGTGTGGAGGACCTGGCCTCCACATAGCTCTCCTCCTGCTTTTATGGCTATGGGTTTCTCCCCTTACGCAGCCAAGCTGTGGTTGGCGAAATAAGGTTGGGAGAGGAGAGTGTACGTTTTCGTACAGGTGCTGTTTAAATGTGCATCAGCCACTTCCCCCACCGTCATCACGAGAACGAAAGCAACCATGAATTCATCGAAATTTAATTTTGGATGAGGAAAAAAAAGGGGGTTGGCTGAAAAAGTTCCCACTAGTGGGTTTTGTCCTGTTCTGGAGGTCCCAATATCTCATTCTTAGTTTTAAAAACATACATGTATTTTTGGCCACTAGGGAGCAGGAGGAAATTTTAGGATTTTAAACAATGTATTTTTGTAAACGGACGTGGTGGCGCTGTGGGTTAAACAGCAGAAGCCTCTGTGCTGCAAGGTTGGAAAGACCAGCCATCGTAGGATCGAATCCACGCGACGGAGAGCGCTCCCGTCGCTTGTCCCAGCTCCCGCCCACCTAGCAGTTCGAAAGCATGTAAATGCAAGTAGATAAATAGGGACCACCTTGGTGGGAAGGTAACAGCGTTCCGTGTCTAGTCGCGCTGGCCACATGAGATCCCAGGAAGTGCTGGGTTAGCTCTACGGCTTGGAGATGGGGATGAGCACCGCCCCCTAGAGTTGGACACGACTGGACTAAACGTCAAGGGGACATTCTTATTTTTGTAAGAAGAAAAAAATGGGGTGGATGAGTGGTCATAGCTGCCTTTCTCCAAGATCCAGGAAATGGCATAAATTGCACTGGAGATCCTCGGCTCCTGATGTGGATCAGAGCTGGGGAACTGCAGTGATCTGGTAGTGTGGAAATCATCCCAGTGGCTGAATCCCAGCCTTCTCTTCCTTGGGGAAGTTACTTCACTGACGTCCTCTTCTCCATCTCTGTGCAGAAAGAGGGTCAGAGTGCTAGACACCCCCCCCCCATCACCTCTAATTCGAGATCCCAGGAAGTGCTGGGTTGTGGAATCTCAGATCATGGATCAGGGATAACGGTGGGACTCTTGCATGTCCCGCTTTGCTCGCTTTGGTATAGTGTGGAATTTCCCCACCTCCGTTAGGGGCTGGGATTCGGGGAGGTGCACTTCCAAACACTCAGCAGGCTGAATTAGGCCCATAGGCTGCAGGTTGCTGACTCCCTGCAGAAGAAATCTCCCAGCTAAGGTTTTGGATTTTGTCGTCTTGGTTCTAAAAATGGGACCGTGCCCCTCTTAACACACATGCCCAGTCTGAAGTAGTCCATGAAAATCAGGCCTGCCCTTCCTCCTTTTTTTGGGGGGGGGGAGAAGCTGTGTTCCAGACGGCCGCTACAGACGGAATCCTGTTTGCAGTGCCTTTGCCCACTTCTGAATGCCTCCTGCCTTGTGGAGGTGAATTAGCAAACCCCTTTTCTTCTGTCGTGCTTTAGAGATACACTCAAAACACACACCAGACTGCAAAGAAAACCAACACAGAGAGTGTGTGCATGCATGTACGTGTGCCATATATACCACACGTTGCCTTTGTGTGATGGATCCATCTACAATATTGTCTATATGTGCATTCTGTTTCGTTAGTACAGTATGCCTGGCTGTTGGAGATTATTCAGTTCTCCTGCAAACTGCTGGTGGGTAGATATAGTATTCTATATCCAATCAGTATGCTGGGCCATGCACAATGGGAATTGTAGTCTGAAGAACATCTCAGGAGGCTCCGCATTGCCTGTCCCTCACTTAGAGACTAGCTGCGGAGGCCTCCGTAGCCCACCCACAGCTTGAGATTCTCAGCAAAGTTCCGGTTACATTTTCTACCTTCTCAAGAGGCACAATTGGTGAATACGGAAGCCAGGGCTTTCTCAGCACCACCACCACAGAAGCTGTGGAACTCTCATCCACTGGAAGGCTAAAACTGGACTGTACTAGATAACTTTAGGTCGCTAATACGGTGGCGGTCTTTAATCTGGCTTTTGATCACTGGGGTCTGCTTTGTAATTGCTTTAAATCTGGGTTTTGAATGCTTTTGTTTTTAATTTCTTTTTTAAAGTTTGCTTGAATTTATATGTTACCTGGAGAGTTGCGGTTGGTAGGTAGGGGGGTGATAAACAAAGACTAAGGCACGTGGTGGCGCTATGGGTTAAACCGCAGAAGGCTCTGCGCTGCAAGGTCAGAAAACCAGCGACGTAAAATCAAATCCATGCAACAGAGTGAGCTTGTAAAATCAAATCCGTGCAACAGAGTGAGCTTCTGTTGCTTGTCCCAGCTCCTGCCAACCTAGCCATTCAAAAGCATGTAAAAATACAAGTAGATAAATAGGTACCACCTCGGTGGGAAGGTCACAGCATCCCATGTCTAGTCACGCTAGCCACGTGACCACGGAAACTGCCTATGGACAAACTCTGGCTCTTTGGCTTGGAGACGAGCACCGCACCCTAGAGTTGGACACGACTGGACTCAATGTCAAGGGCAAGCAGGCTTGTTTTGGGGAAAGGGTCCCTCCCCAGGTGTTCGCAGAGTCTCACTCCTTCCATCAGCCTGTTCTTACTATTGGGTGGATCTGTTTGGTCTCAGGGAGTTTTAGGTGCCAAAAGTCAATGGATTCCCAGATCTCGCCAATCCCAGTTTAAATCCTTCCGGACCTGAAGGTTGTTCAGCATCTCCAGGCGCAGTTCTACCTCCGTTCTTTTCCCGTAACAGATTCCAGTTGTCATGTTTATATCATCCTTCTCATGAATGGAAATGGGTGGCCTCTCCATCTTTTCGTGTAAAGGAGGGCCATTCGGTACTAAATTGTGTGTGGATGGGGGAGTTGTGGCCTATTACAGTTGCCAGGTTGGCTTAGCCGTGCCTTTAGTCCATTGGGAGGCTCTTTGCAGCATTTCATGACTTAGTTATGATGGGACGAGACTTTTTATTACTTGGGGCCGTTCCTCCCATTCACAAGAGTAGAAGGGGAAAGAAACCTGCTTTTGTTTGGTTTGCTTGCCACACATACAAATTTTTGCACAAAATTGCAAAACAAAATAAGCCCATTTACACCCCAAACTCAGGGTTCTAAATGTCACGAGTGAGGATTTAAAACACAAATATAGCCAATAAAATTGTCATGAATGTAAACCATTTTGTACACTTTTTAAAAAACATTCAATTTTTAAACCGTTTTTTCATAGATGCTGCTCTTTTCCTCGGATGAGGGAATTTTTGCTTTCAGTCTTCATGATCTACCAAAGAACTGGAAGGTGCTGAAGAGTAAATTGTTCTGGTTTGTGTAAACCCAAGAGCGCATCTCAACAATTAAGTAGGTTTTAACATATTTATATCCTCCAGAATAGCAGAAGTGTGATGTATCTGTGCATCTATTTCTCCCATCAAGGACGTGGGACTTCAGGCCTGTTTCACCCTGGTTATCAAGAATTGCTAAACTGGGCTCCTGCACCATTCCCTGTGGTAGAAAATATATATGTCCACCAGGGAGGTGGGTCATCTTTATGCTTTTAAAAGTTTATCTAGATGCCCCTTGACTCTGAAGATCTTCGGATCCTTTAGGAGAAAGGCAACACAGAAGTATTTTAAATAAATTGCTCCAGCTTGGTTTTCCAGATTCATAGAGAATTGTATTTGCACTTCATTCACTGTAGCAAGACCCTAAAAGGTATGTCCCGAGTATGATCCCTTGTTGGAAAACTGTTGAATGTAGCACATTTCCCCAAGAATGTAGTAGCACATTTCCTAAAGTAGCTTCAAGAGGGGCTGCAATTTCAAGGAAAAATATGTTCTCCACTTTCATGTTTATTACACCTAATAGACACTTCGCTCCATAAGACACACAAACTTTCCACCCCCCTGTTTTTTGGGGGGAAAGTGCGTCTTATGGTGCGAAAAATACGGTAGCTTCAAGAGGGACTGCAATTTCAAGGGAAAATATGTTCTCCACGTTCATGTTTATTACACCGAGTTGACTTTTGTTCTTGTGGGCAATGTGCCTTTCAGGTTGTTTCTGATTATAGTGGCCCTAACATGGTTTTGGGGTTTGTGAGATGTTCAAGAAGTGGTTTTTTAAGCACTGTCTTGCCTCTGCCTCACTTGTGAGTTACCATGGCCAAACAGGGATTTGAATAAATAGTATTTCTGGCTATTGTTGTATTAATTTGTCAACTTAAAATTATATTTACAGAACAACACATGTATTTGACTTTGCTGAAAAAGAAGGGGTGGACAGAACCTTGCAGAAGAAAAAATGCTGCAGACAAAAAAGGTTAATAAACAGTTTATTTGCATTTTACAAGGTCATTCTCCATACATTCTCAATTAATTTGCCATTAAAGTGCTGAAAGGATTTTCTTTGTATGGTTTTGTTTTATTTAAAACTAAGATACATTTGTTAAAAAATTAACAAATAGCATCCGTGGGTCAGGAGGGAATAAAGTTATTATCCAAACATTTTTTTTTTTTGCTCCACAGCTAAGAGACCTTTTGTCCCACTGTATAAAAATAATATATGGAGACAACTAAGATGATGCCACAAATATAAAATCGTTTTCAGTTTATTTAAGGGTAATGTTCTTTAACCAAGCAAAACTTATATATATAAATTTAATTTATTTATTAAATTTATTAAAATGTTTTTTTGTCCCTTAGTGAACTAATTCAAAGTCTGTCTTTTCTGAGGCAATGTAAGCAAGACTTATTGTGAACCTTCCATTCTGGCACATCTCAGTTGTATCTATACACACATATTTTTACAGTGTCTTTCCTTTTTAATACATCTACTTTTTCAGTGAGAACAATTTTAATCCTCCTTGCAGATAAAAGCAGGAAAAGTAGCTAAAACGGACACATTTTCATAGATCAACACTGGATACTCATCAAAATTGAAAATTATATTTATATATATTTTTTAAAAGCTTGCCGCAGTAAACCTAAAGCTCTCAGCGTAAAAAAAGCGCAATCCCAAAGCCCGAAAAGAGAAAACTTCCAAAATACGTCCAAGTAACTGTACACCCATCTTCCTTATGGCACGGCTTTAAATATCACATAATTCCATACTTCCTCTTGCACTGATTAATCAATACAACGGCTCCTCTCTCAGCAATAGCCCCAGTACAAATGATACTTATGAATCATTCAGAATGATAAAGGTGAGTTAGGAAAGCAACTTTCTGGTGAGTATGCGCTGTTGTTTTTTTTAAACATTCGGCACAACAGTTCTTACAGCCACCTGTGGGAAACAAGACGGTGCATTCTACATAGGCATCTAGCCTTGTCCTGCCCCAGTTTGGGACCTTAGCCCAACTGTACCAGCATCTGTCGGATATATATATATATATATCTAGTGAAGACAGAATCATGTTGGTGGACGCTTCCCCCATCACAGTCAAACAGTAGTTGTTTTGTGGTTAAGAACTACTGTTCCACAGGGCATCGCCTGTTTTATTGCTGAGCATTTATAGCTAGAAAATTTATATACACACAGAGTAGAGGGAGATATATACAGAGATGCTATGTACATGAGAATCCTCCATTTTATTCTTTCTTTTTCGCTACCGTCAACTCTACGGCCGGCATTCGTAAGCCGGCTTTAGTCCCACTGTCGTTACTCGAAGAGGATGACAGACGGGACTTGGATGCGAGTAGCACCCCACTTCCCTGCGTCTTCCCTGTTTCATCATCACTTCCTGTTACCTCATAGGAGCCTTTAGTTTTTGACCCTATCCCACCAAAGGTACCAAATTTAAGTTTGGCATGCTTGCCCTTGTCTCCCTCATGCTCCAGCGTGCCGGTGGGCGTTGAATGGGATGAATGCTCATCACTGAAGGACGATGAGCGGTGCCGCGACTTTTTGGTCTTAAAGAAGGAGAACATCCCTTTTGGAGAGGCAGACCCTTCACCTACATCCACATCCCCTTCCAAGGAACCTAGACTTGCCTTTAGCTCACCTTCGCCTCCCGAAACGGATGCTGAGACTTCAGGGGAACCCACACTGCCTTTGACTTTAGGTTTTGAGAAAGCAAACTTTGGCATTTTTATTTTAGATTTCTTAAGCTTAATATCAGGCTCTTCCAGTTCGACATTTACGGTCCCACCATGGAGGCTCGCTTGTGGTGCTTGAGGGAACTCGACATCAACCCCAACTTCCCTCCCAGTTAGCTCCTGCCCTGAAACCACAAACTTGGGTATTTTCATTTTGGGGAATGACACTTTCCCGTATGGGCTTTCTAAATGGCCTTGTGGAACATTCACTCCAACGGAAGGACCTTTGATCTCCAACTTAGGACCTTTGAGATCACCCCCTATTTTTGGTCCAGAAACCTGAAAGCTTCCTCCGCCTTCAACGTTAGCACTTAACTCTGGAGTTTTGACATCTCCGGAAATATCAAGACCTTTGATTTTAGGCCCTTTCAAACTGACATCAAAGTCTGTTCCAGAAACTTTTGGCGCGGATGCACTGAGTGAAGGCCCTTTCAAACCAACACCAGTAGCAGCTGCATCCAGGCCCATGCCAGACATTTTCACCCCTGGGGCTTCCACTCTGATCTGCTGACCTTTCATGTCACCAGCAATCTGAGCATCTCCTTTCAAACTTGGTCCTTTCACATTCAAATCAAAGTCTGGGGAAGATATGTTAGGCCCTCTGAAATCCACTTCAGGTCCTTTGATCTGTGGTCCTGAAATACTCATTCCTTCACCTTGAGGGGCAGAGATGCCAAACTGGGGAAGTTTCATGCAAGGAAGTTTGACTCCAACTCCAGAACCGTCCATGTTAACACTGGGTACCTCAACAGCCACCTTGGGGGACGTAATGCCACCAGAAATGCCAAGATCTCCTTCAATCTTTGGTCCTTTCAGATTCACATCAAAATCAGGTGCAGAAATACCTCCCCCAGAGGGCATTTTCACTGTCGGCCCTTTCACATCGAGGTCTGGCGCATTCACATTGACATTGAGGCCTGAAGACTTGGGCATGTTCAGCTTTCCTTCAAAACTGCCAACATCAACCCCTGGTGTGCCAAATCCAATCTTTGGACCTTTGACATCGCCCGAAAGACCCAGGTCTCCTCCTAATTTTGGTCCTTTCAAGCTTACATCCACTGCAGGAACACTTGCACCTCCTTCAATACTTGGGGCTGACACCTTGATGCCTGCAGGGGGCAACTGTCCTTGAAAATCCACATCAGCTCCCTCTAGTTTCACGCCCGGTTTCCCAATTTTTGGAAAGCTAAATTTCGGGAACTTCAGCTTTCCTTCTGGGCCTTGCAGTTCTGCTGTGGGGAGGTCAACATCACCTTTTAGCTTTGGTCCTCTCAAGTTAACATCAAGATCAGGGGCTGAGATGGAAGGAGCAGAAAGGTCCACAGATGGTAAGTTCGCTGATGGACCTTTCAGGCTGATGTCAGGAGTACTAACATTGGCATTGATGCTGGGTGCTCTAAGATCTCCTTCCAATTTGGGACCAGCCAGGTCAACACTTCCACCTGAAAGGTTGAATTTTGGTTTCTTAAGGCTGATGTCAGGACCGCCAACGTTAACGTCAGGCAAACTGGCACTTGCGGTGGGAACTGTAACGTCAAGACTTGGTGCTTTGATACTTGGCATTGAAACATCTATTTCTGGTGTCTTGATTTCTCCTTCCACTTTAGGCAAAGAAGCATCCGCCTTGAACATAGGTGATTTTATATCAAACTCAACATCAGGAAAAGAGAGTTTCCCAAAAACAGATTTTCCCTTGGGTGACTTGATGTTAACATCCCCTTTCAGTGTTGCTTCAGGGACAGAGACACTTCCTTCCAAATCTGGAGATTTCACACTTGCATCTACCTCTCCACTCACATCAAAGCCAGGCTTCTTGCCTTTAATTTTCGGTCCACTCATATGGATTTTCGGCATTTTAAACTTGCTTTTCTTCCCTTTCCCAGAAATGGCAATGTCAGGGGATTCAACATTCAGTTCACCTTCTGGAAGGGTGACATCCAGGGTTGGAGATTTCACATCTGCCTTGGGGCTTTTTCCACCAAACCCAAATTTTGGCATCTTAAATTTGGGGAGTTTAACATTTCCTTCCGGCCCTTCAATATTTGCTTCTGGACATTCCAAGTTGATCTCTGGAGCTTTAACTTCAATTCCTGGTACTTGGACATCAATCTCTGGGCTTTTTAAGTTGCCCTTGGGAATGGAGACATCAACGTCGCCTTTAACTTTGTGTCCCTTTAGATTTAAATCAATCTCTGGCATGGATATTTTTGGTGTCTTGAAATGCATCTCAGGCATGGTGACCTTAGGACCCTTCAGCTCCCCTCCTGGTCCTTCAATGTCCAAGTTGGGGCCTTCAATGTTGACTTTTGGGCCTGATAATTCTAATTCTCCTTTGGGTAGATTTGCATCCATATGAGGTCCTTCTCCTTTGAAACCAGGCATGCCAAATTTGGGTAGCTTCATTTTTGGGAACTTTACTTTCCCATCAGGACCATGAATATCAACTTCAGGAGCCTCCACGTCCAACTTCGGGCCTTTGATATCAATTTCAGGAGCTTTCAGATCTCCTTCAAGTTTTGGTCCAGAAATATCCACGTCCCCTTTCATGTGAGGCCCTTTCAGATTAAGATCTACATCAGGCATGGAAATTTTGGGTGCTTTGAAGTGCATGTCCGGCATCTTAAATTTAGGCCCTTTCCACTTTCCCTCGGGACCTTCAAGCTCAACATCAGGAACATCAACATCTAGTTTTGGTCCTTTGATATCAAGATCAGGGGCCTTCAGATCACCTTCCAACTTTGGCACAGAGACATCCACATCTCCTTTCACTTTAGGACCTTTCAAGTTCAAATCAAAGTCCGGCATGGAGATTTTGGGTGCTTTGAAGTGCATATCTGGCATCTTGAACTTGGGGCCTTTCCACTTTCCATCAGGACCTTCAATCTCAACATCAGGTGCTTCAATATCCACTTTAGGACCCTTGAGATCAACATCTGGGCCTCTGAGGTCACCTTCCAGTTTTGGAACTGACACGTCAACATCCCCCTTCAGTTTAGGCCCCTTCAGGTTCAAATCAATATCTGGCATGGAGATCTTTGGAGCTTTGATATGCATTTCGGGCATCTTAAACTTGGGCCCTTTCAGTTTTCCTTCAGGACCTTCAACATCCAGGCTGGGTGCTTCAA